TGGATGATACTCTGGTCTATCCAGGCTAGAATTGTCTATTACGCCTGAGTTAGACTAACGCCTGTCATTTCCCCATCATTTCCATAAAACCTAGCATCCAGCCCTTCGTCAGGAATGTATCTTCCTTTAGTGTCAATTTTTAGCATCTTCTCTCAAAGTATAACCTGTTAGGAATGCAAGGATTGTTTTAATCTGTCTTTTTTTTTTTTTTTTTTTGGTGCTGGGAAAATAAACCCAGGATCTCTGTTGTACTAGGCAAGTGCTCTATCACTGGACTACACTCCTAGCCCTGTAACTGCTTGAGCCTGGGTACTGTGCTGGGTTGTTGTTGTTGTTTTGTTTTTTCAATACATTCCTCTCCCCTCCCCTCCTCCTCCTCCTCCTCCTCCTCCTCCTCCTTCTCTTTCATAATGCAGTTTTGATTAACTCACTCTGATGTTAAAATATACCAGCTAGTTAAATCCCCCAAAGCTCTTAGGAACCCGTGTGTTTTGTTGTTTTTCATACCAGCTCAGGACCTGGCACTGTCCCTTAGCTTTTTCATTCAAGGCTGGCACTCTAGCACTTGAGCCACAGCTCTACTTCTAGCTTTTTGGTGGTTAATTGGAGTTATGTTCCTCACAGACTTTCCTGTCTAGGCTGGCTTGGATCTGAGATCCCCAGATCGCAGCCTCCTGAGTAGCCAGGATTCCAGGTGTGAGCCATCAGCAGCTGGCTAAGAACCAGTTTTTTGAGTCTGAACTAAGAGGCAAGCATATGGACCCAACCAGACCTCTCCTGGGTCAGTGCTTGCTCTTCCATGTTATCTTGTATGCTTGACTTTGTTCTTCTTCACATGGCACAGACAGAACACTAAGCCTGTCAAAGCCAGTGTGTCGTTACCGAAAAAAAAAAAATCAACTTTGTGCGTGTGTGTGTGTGTGTGTGTGTGTGTGTGTGTGTGTGTGTGTGTGTGTGCTCAGTTTCAAATCTGGGGCCTTTGACACGCTAGAAAAGTGATCTCCCATTGAGCTACACCCCAAACCCCAAGTCACCAGTTATTTTTCAAAGATTTCATTGCTTCTGTTTTCCTGCCACTTGTCTTCATGAAGAAAAGAAACAACACGCTGCTCCACTTGGTCTGACTGCTAATTCTGGACAGAGCTAGCCTCAGTATTCTTGTGGGGAACACACAAGCTTCCCAGCCGCTGTGAATGGCTAGTCTGTATTGAAAGCTTGATGGAGCCTTTGTTGTTTTGGCAGGTTTCAAAGAAAAAGGAACTCATGCAAAATGTAGGTGTACGGAATTTTCACAGTGAACCCTTTCTCCAGCTGTGGATTTTGGGTAACCCATGAATTTCCAAGGAAAAATTGCAGCATGTATTTTAAAAAACTGACTGCCTAGGTCATCATTTTTTTTTTCATGATATACCAAATTTTCTAAGTCACTGAAACAAGCCACTGATGTAACCTGTAACCCTAGGACTTTTTCCAGCTCCACCTTTCTTCCCTGTCAGCAGCCCACACTGTGGGCCACAGGACAGGTTAAGAGCATCCTGTGCCAACATGGTGTCATCTTTGGTGTCATTTAACCACAATTGCTAACACACTTCGCTAAACAATAGTTCTGAACTCTAACTTGTTCCTTTTTACAGTAATAAATATTCCCTTGTTTTAACTATAGTATAAAAGATTAAAAAAGAACCAACTTCTTGCCAGGTTCTGACTTTTACCTGTAATCTTACTTAGGAGACTGATATATGAGGATTTCCATTCAATGCCAGCTTGGGCAGGAAAGTCTGTGAGATTCTCATCTCCAATTAACCACCAAAAAGCTGTGAATGGGCTGTGGCTTAAGTTGTAGAACACCAGCCTTGAGCAAAACAAGCTGAGTGACAGTGCCCAGGCCCTGAGAGTTCAAGCCTCAGGACTAACCTCTCCCTCCCCCCCAAAGAAAAAACACTTCAGTTTTGGGGGAATCCAATGTTCATGTTAACTTAGTTTCAATGTCCAAACATCTTCAATCTCTGGTAGAAAGCTTTTAAAGGTCTATCTAAAACCAGCTGGGCTTCAATCTCTGGTAGAAAGCTTTTAAAGGTATATCTAAAACCAGCTGGGTGCCAGTGGCTCACACCTGTAATCCTAGCTACTCAGGAGGCTGAGATCTAAGGATCGAGGTTCACCCAAGCCTGGGCAGGAAAGTCTGTGAGACTTCTATCTCCAATAAACCACCAGAAAACCAGAAGTGGTGCTGTGGCTCAAGTGGTAGAGTGATCATGCTCACCTTGAGCTGAAGAGCTGAGGGACAGAGCCCAGGTCCAGAGTTCAAGTCCCATGTTGGACAAAAAAGGCGTATCTAAAACCCATCTAGTTTTAGGTCTTCAGATATGAAACCTAAATCTTCTGTGGCATCTCTGGTTAAATTTCATATGAAAGAAAGATCCTAAAACAGTAATTTTTATTTGCTAGAGGCTGGGGCCAACTGTTGCCACTGAATACTGGTTTAGAACTGCTTTGAAACTCCAGTCATGAAGGGGAACCCATGTTTTCTTTTGGGGAAGGAACAGACAAATGAAATTTTAATAAATCCAGACATATACATGTGCTTGCAATTCCAGCACTCAGGAGGCTGAAGGCCATTAGTCACACAGCAAGACCTTGTCTCAAAGAAAAGAGGTATATACCCTACCAAGTTATTTGACAGCTTCTGATTTAGCTGAAGTTGTCAAAAGGAAGGACACTAGCCCTACTAAGTGTACTTGATACAATGTGCCAACAATGTTCTTTGGAGGCTCTAAACCAACCCACAACTGCTGTCTTGACATGAGAAAAATACTAGAACGATCTCAAGATAGAAATACTCTGCATACCCCCCCCCACCCAATCAATATTGCTCCAAAATGCAGAGATTGGCAAAATCAGGCCAAGTCTGCAGCAGCCAGGAGGACCTGAAGGACATCCAGCTAAATGGTGAGTTCTAGAACAGCAAAAGGCACCAGGGAAAGCCTAAATCCAAATAAAAATGAGGCTTAACTTCAGTGTTCATTCATTGACGATGACAAAAGGGACCAAAACAACTATTAACTAGGGAGACTACTACTAGGCTGTAGAATCCAGGGAATCTTCTTACAACTTTTGTGCAAATCTCATTTTAATAAGGTTTACTGAAACAAAGAGAAGTGGTGTGTTGGGCAGTTTAAAAAATATGACCAGTAAAAATGACACAAAAGCAGACTTGCCACTACTGGATGAGCTAGAAGCCCAGACACACCTGTAGACAGCTGCAGCAGAGAGGAGCCCTGCCGGTCACATTACCTGCTGAGAGTTCCCTGGGAAGAAGTCCCCCCACCCCACGCACCCCCTTCTTTGTAAGGAAAAACTCAGGCTCTCTACTAAAGCAAAGCCTCCTTGCTGGAGGTTGTCCCAGTGGACTCATGTGCCTGAGGCTATAGGTGAACCTGACACTTCAAATGTAAAACTCATCAACTCTGCCAGACTCAAGTGTAAATAACATCATAGTATTGAATCATTTATAAATGTTTATTAAATGTCAGTAATTTTCACAAAGCAAATATTAAGAGCAAGAGACATTTTTTTGGCAAAATATGTACAAAAGTAAAAGCCTTAGTGAATAGCAACTCATTTTATAAATCAAACCATTCTTTCTACTCCTACGCCTCCTTTAGAAATAATTTATTGCCAAACCTGAACTAAAGCACTGACCAAAAAAAAAAAAAAATTTACAACAGTATCAGATAATGTGCTTAGTTCCTAGAGGTTATAAAAGAATATATGTAAAAAATCCTAAACCACAAATACTTTTACATGGAGCTAATACAAATCATGTTTTGTTAGGTACAGTATGTATGAGGTTGTTACAAAATATACTTTTGATAAGGCTTCTTGTGGCAGATGAGCTCTCACCCAGGAGAGTGAGGAATAGAGAAAAGCCATTTAGAACATTTTGCGATTCTGCTTTCAAGTAGGAGGCAAAGAAAGGGGAAATGGCATAGGCTGTTGCGCAAGTACACTTGTAGCAACCCCTTCTCCCTCCCTCCCCTTTATTCCTGGTACCATCTAACAGGCATGATTGAGGACACATTTGTCACTTTCTAGAACAAGCTTTGTACATACAAACAAATCACATTCCAAGTAGTTTATTACAGTCTGGACACTCGCCGATTCCAGATTTCAACCCATCTGTAAATTTGCATCACTGTTAACAGCACATCTGTATAAGACACAAAGATCGCCAACCAAATGAGAAAATGCTGCCGTATTATTACTATTAACAAGAACAAAACAATTTTCCAGCCAGGTGTGGTGGTGGATGCCTATAATCTCGGCACTCAGGAGACTGAGGCTGGAGGATTGTGAATTCAAGGCCACATAGTTACATAGCAAGACACTGTGTCAAACAAAACAATAACCACAACAATGATCTGGCATTTGAAACCAGTTAGTCTGAAATGCCACAAGGTGAATGTATTAATGTTAAGTGCTGACTCTACAGTTGTGTATAGGTGTTAAGAATGTTAGCGGTACAAACACTGTACTTCAAAGGTGCTAATAATCACCTGCTGCCTGAGGCTAATAACTACTTAACAGTACTTGAGAGAGCCAACAATAATTGGTTTAAAATGTTCAGGTTTAGACTCATACTGCACTCTGGTTTACATTTATTAAGCCCTAACTTCGTACCATAAAATGGGCATGGACTGCAACATTGGCTTGATTTGGAACACACCACTTGTAATCTCTGCCCTCCTCCTGTCTACTCAACTGAAAGGTCAATCTGTGTCCAAGCCCTAAAAAATAGAAAATCAGTACTTTTAGTTAAGCAGCACAATACCAAAGACGCATCGTCTGTGACCCATGAAGTCAAACAAGGTGCTGGAAGAGTGGAAGAGACACAGTGACCAGGGCTACTAGTCAGATTTTCACTGTCAGTGAAAAATACCAGTGCAAAGCTTTTGTTCTTTATCCCTCAAATAAAACTAAAAGAAACAAAAAGGTAAGAGTGGCTTTCTCTAGATTTATTAGGGAGCTTGTTACAAAGGTTGAACTGGTTTTACAAGCATGATTTCATGGATCCAAACAAATGAAGGGTTAATACTGATAGCTGGCCTTCTCATTACATCCTGTCCAATGGCTTGTGTGGGGTTTGTCTACATGTAGCATTGGATAATGAAAGCACCGATTTAAGGGTTTCTCAAATAGTGATTTCAGGTTCAGGATATAACAGCCTAAATCAGTAACTTCATTCTTCATATAAACAAGGCATCACCAGATAGTTATACTAATGCTGAAAAACACATTTTAAGAAAAACGTAAGACAGAAGTATCTGGATATGCACTTGAATTGAAGATGTAACTATTGGGCATGCAATTTGTTGCTGAATCAAAACCAGTACTTCTGATCACTGTGGTATTAAGGTAGGCTTTCTTCCTCCTGCTTTGAACTAACCATGGTCACAAACTGAACAAGGATCTCCCTCAACAGTCCCAGGCGAGATGAATTGGGAGGCCATTCTCAATGTAAAGTACCCATCAGTAGTGGGTGGAAGACAGAAAACAGAAGTGGTCTTCTTTATTCCACGCTGTTGTCTTTGGCTGTGGAAGCACTTGGGTTAGCAAGCGCCCGTTATAGATAGTAAAAGTGAAATGAGGATTTCAATCGCACATTTGGCAGAAAGCAAAAATTCAGGCTATTCAGATAATATTTATGTGAAAGAAATATGTCTTGAATTATTTAGATCTTTGGAGAACACTGACAAAACCTTTTCCCTATAAAAAAATTAAGGTCTAAATTTGTGTTGTTCTTTGATTTATAAGGCAACTCTGTATACTGTGAACTCCTTGAAGGTCAATGAAGAGACTTGGTGTGGCATCTCCTCAGATAAGTAAATGAGAAGGCATTCAGATTTAAGAACAGAAAGTGATATAGATCAGGCACATTGTATTCCAAATCATAACCAAAGATTTGGAAAATTGAACACAGCAAAGAATTTCAAATCTGACTTCACTTACCTTTTTAGAGGTTTGGGAGAAGTTAGCTTAGGATTATTATAAGCACCTTTTCCACTGGGTTCATGACATTTCACCTCCCTCTTCACATAGTGGTATTTCAATTCAAAAGGACCTAGTTTTTATCACATAGCTATCAGACACCACTTGAATAGTTCACATTGCAGCCTAGAGAAATGTGCAGCTTAAAGCCTTTCTGTTGAGCCTCACAGTTATACTAGATGTCCACACAAGTTTGCTTAAGTAGCACAGAAGCAATTTACTGCCTCCAAATACATTCTGGGTCTTATTTTAAAAGCACACTGATTCTGAGCCACTACACATGCATCAGAAGAAAACCGCAGATGCCAACACGCTACCTTGTCTAGTTGGTGTTTTAACATTGCTTGGTGATAGTAAAACAGAGAAATGTGGGGTACTATTTATAGTTCTTACCAAACCACCTCAATAAGACCAAGAGTCCACTCTTCAGCCTTCATTGGTATTCAATGTCTTGGCCATCCAATAAAATTGTTTGCTGAATTTATGTGGAACAAACCAAATGTTACTGTTGCACATATCCAGAAATTCATTAGATCTAGAGCTATGCTATCCTGAAGATTCAAACAATGCATTCTTTTGGCAAGAAGCACTAGATGTAGAAGGACTGAGACATGCAGGAGTTATACTAGGAAGACCTGCATAGGTTGAGGGGCTCAGTGTCTGAAGCTCATGTATTACCAAGGCATGAAAACATGAGTTCACACAGATGCAGCGATAGTAACACCTTGGTGCAAGAAGAGTCAGCACGTGAAGAATGAATCCCTGCTCATGCACTGACAGGCCCAGCTCCTATATCTCACCGCTAGACAAAACAACAGCCGCTGATTTGGAAAGGCTGGGTGATCCACAATGTTGACCAATCTTTGAAGGGCCAATAGAATACCTGAGAACACAGTCAGCTGTACAGTAAAGTGACAGATATCACAGTCTTCATCACAATTATCAAGAAAAGCAAGAGTGGCACATTTTGCAAATGGTTCCTAACTTTGTACACATATATCTCCAATGCTAACACTACACTGAACCTACAAGACAGCAGTTTTTAATACTGCGAACTGTATCTGAAATCACAAAGTGATGGGCTTAGTTTAATCTGGTATGGGTGGGGGGAGGGGTCAAATGTGTGAACAAAAACAACAACAACAAAAAGACTACTTATCCTTAGAAGCATTCTCCAAACAGATAAAATGTACTCAACATAGCTGGCATCTCACACACAGTAACTGTGCAAACATGTACCCACTGTACATCTTTAGAGACACACCAAGAATGAATAAGAATCTCAAACAATGCCTTCTTGAGTCATCTGCCAGGAAAATACTGCCCTTGGCCAGCTCCACATAAACAAAGAATCCGTTCAGTGCCACAGTGTGGAGGTACTGGGCGGGGACAGGAGAGTGGAGGAAGGCGGGGATGCAGGAGTGGTTTCCTCCAGCCAGCTGCAAGTCCCCTGACACAGGACTGGAGAAGCCACGTGGCATTCGGGACAGGGATGTCTACTTCTGCTACCAAGGTGCTTGCGTGTTTTAGGTCATGCAATGGGCCCAAATGTTTTGCTTATGGCACATTAAATTACATGATAAATAAACATGAAAAAGGCAAGTTACATTTTACCCATTACTTTTGATCAAAATATATAACATTTGCTTGTCTTTTTTGCTCCTTGGTACCATTTGTGAACTCACTCGCTTCAGACCAGAAATCCTTATGTAAACTTTAAAACACTAAGAACACTACCTCCAGGAACCAAAGCAACTTACAAAACAGCTGTTGTGTGTATAAGCAATTATAAACACACCTGTGTAATCTAGACTAGCATTTCTTAGATCAAACCTTTTCCAATAGCCCTTTTGTAACATGGTCATTCTAAAGCTAGGCATCCTGTGTTCCTCTCTCTGTAAGGCAGATAAAGACCTTTTACTGAACATTCCTAGCCTCATTCCTACACTGTCTCTACTTGGCACTACAGGATTCAATTTGAAAAACAAAAGAAACACACCTAGTCTGAGGTTGGCCAGGAAATTACAACAGGACTTGAGTGGAAGCTTGATGAAACTGGCTAAAACCTGAACTCCAGCAAACACAACAATGCGTTCATTACTCAGCAGCTTTCAGCCACAAACCAAAGGCAGCAGAAGGACTAGGATTTCCAAGAAGTTAAACACAGAATCAAGATTGTTTTCTAATTCCTGTTGTAAACTGCTATTAAAAAAAAACGACACAAACGGAAAACCATCAAACACAAAAAGGTACTATAACAGCAAGTCTCATGTATGTCACTGGAGCATAAGCTGCTTGAGGTTGTCGTGAAGGATTGTATCCTTCACGTCACGGAAAACCAGGCGGATGTTTTCTGTGTTGATAGCAGTGGTGAAGTGGTGGTACAAGGGCTTCTGCTGCTGGTCCCGGCGTTTGCTCCGGAAACACTCCACCAGGAATTTTTGGACGTCTGGTAAGCAGTGTGGATCCCCTTCAAATTCCAGGAAATAGTCTTTGATGCTCACAATTTGCACTTTCTCCTCAAGCAAGTCTGTCTTGTTTAAGAAGAGTATTATAGAGACATTGCTGAAGACCCGATTATTGACGATGGTTTCAAAAATGTTCAGAGACTCTGTAAGGCGATTGGTCAGTCGATCCTCCATGAGCACCTGATCAAATTCACTTGAGGAAACAAGAAAGAGTATGGATGTCACACTGTCGAAGCATTCAAACCAACGTTTCCGTTCTGACCGCTGACCACCCACATCAACCATTTTGAAAGGGACGTTTTTAATTTCAAAGTCATATTCGTGGATGCCTTTGGTGGGTCTTCTTGCAAGCAAAATGTCTTGCTGTGATGGAATGTAATCCTGGAAAAGAAAAGTTTCAAATGTAGTCATCCAGAAGGAATTACTAGAATTCTTAGTGGGCTGCTAACCAGCTTAATAAATGGCTATGCAAACAAAGTTTCTGGTTTCTTTTCCTTTCTCATGAGACACAGGGTCTCAGTCTGTATCCCAGGCTGGACTAGAACTCTTGATTCTCCTGCCTCAACCTCCTGAGTGCTAGAATTATAGGTGTGCCTTGCAAATCTGGAAGCTTTTAGTTTTTGGCAATCCATAAGTATTCACTGAATAACTTTAAGACTAGTGGATTTTCCATGTTTTCTTCTAGCTTTTGTTCCCAGACCCACCTATTTTTAGTAGCTGCACTAAGTTTTGAGCCTGCTTTTCCATATTTTTGGTCAACATTTTGTTCCTGACTGCTCCACTTGCGATTCTGTCACATCTCATGTGCATTAATCAGCTATGATTGCATTAACACTCCCCTTCTGGCATTCATTTAGGTTGTTTCTAAATTGGCAATTAAAACTCTTACATATGTAATTCTTTTTTTCCCATTTGGACCATTTTCTGAGATGAAAATAACCAGAAGTAAGATTGTAAGTCAACAGTAGAAATGTTCAATGATCCTGGACACTGAAAATCCCCTGCTTTCCAGGTGTGGTACCCGGTTATAATGTAGTTCATGTGACATACTTCAGCTCTGAGCTTTTTCAAAGATTTCAAATTCCGTAACTTAACAAGTTTTGTATTATTGTGTTTAGTATGAACAAACAATCCAGTTAGGAAGCTAGCATGAGCACAGAATGGAATCAGAGGCTAAGTGTCTGGCAGAACAGAGTATGTAGATTAGGAGTGTGAACCTGAAGACAGCTGGCCACACACTAGCAGTATGATCTTGAGCCATCATTTAACCTCTGGGTCTTAATCCTCTCCTGCAGAAGAGAGCTAATATTTGGGTTTGGTTTGTGACAGCTGCTACCACCACTGATGAACAGGGATCAAAGGAGGCTGGAACCCATGGGTATACCTCCCACAGATACACCTCCACTGTAGTCTCTTCAGTTTGAGATGCTCGCCTGTCACTGCACTTCAAATTCTATTAACAAACACACATAATAAGAGACTGCTTGTATTTTCCAGAGCAAGTCCTCTAAGTTGTACTACAATATTTTCCTTTCTACTTCTTTCCCCGTTAAGTCCATCCATCATTGTTTTCTCTTCCCTACCATCCACTTAGTAAATCCTAATATCCCTTCTTTGAATCTGTTATGCTCCCGGCTCTCTTTCCATGTACCTTTTTTCTTTCCTTTTAATAAATCATCTCAGCCATGGACTGTCATCTCTTTAAGCTTCTTTGCCTGGAAAGTTTCACATCTCTTGGATCCACCTCTTGACCACTTATTGGAAGCCTTTCTCAGACTAACCTTTCTGCAGCATGACTGAGTGCTCAGAAAGGGGTCTCCCTTTAACCTGGCTTTCTATGATGGGGGGAGGGGCTGTTCTGCCCTGCTCAAGCTACCCATAGTGTCTAGCACCAAGTCCCACATAAAGCCTCACTCAGCACCACTGTGTGCTCATATCCGCATAACTGAGCAAGTGCAATGCAGTGGATGAAGACTCAAGCCACTGCCTTTTAGAAATCTATTTTAATATGCTAGAGCCGAGGCCACTTATCCTTCCACAGACAGGTGTGCCTCTTAAAACTAGACACCAGTTGTCTCCCACCTGGGTGGGCCATATCTCATTATGTAAATAAATCCAACCAACCCTTCAGGCAGTTCAGGCTCATTTACTCTTACACACTAGCTCTAACTTTTCCAGCCAAGATCTCTCTCTCCTGCCTGCAAACTTTACTTGCAAAACTTTACTTATCTTCATGATTGGTATCATTTAATTGTCTTCTACTTGTTTTATGTGGGTTAGTTTTGTCTCTCTGGCTAGACTGAGATCCTTAAATATAGGGATCAAAGAACAAAACAGCTAGCATAGTACTTGCTACACTACTGCCCCTTCTGAGGCTATTTCGTGCACTGTCCTACAATGTTATGAGCTGGTCCTCCTACTATGCCCACGTTCTGGATGGAGCAACTGGGTTTAGAGATGCCTGAGGCCACACAGAACCTATCTCTCCTGGACCTGGGATGCGAATCCAGGCTGTCTGCTTGCTATGTCCTTGACCTCTGTGTGCTATTTCCCAGAATGCTCTAGGCTTGGCATACAGCAGTGTTCTGACAACTCTGGGACTTGTGTAAGAGATAGGACATCAAATGCAATCCTATGACTTGTCTGATATGCTCAGAATTAGTGACAAAATGCAGCACACCTAGATTCATCCTCTTCTTTACACTGATCACATAGCTCTTTTTATTCTAGATGTGGTTTCTGGAATGTTCTCAACATAAGGCTGCACCAGAGACTCAACTCCTTCACCATGAGATCCTAGCCTTTATGGAGAGAGATAAATACAAGACAAATGTAAGGTAATTATCAATGGTATGCATGCAATGAAGGAAAGAAATGAGGGTTGATCCCAGAAGCAAGAGTTGTTTAAATGATGTGCTCAACCAAGACTTATTTTAAAGGTAAACTGAGAACAGCAGGTCAAGGCAGCATTGTTTAGAAAACAGGAAGGAAATCTTAAAAATATTAGGTGGGGCACAGGACTCATGCCTCTAGCTACTCAAAAGCAGGAGATTGGGGGGGGGGGAATTATGGCTCATGGCCACCCTGGACAAAAATTAATGAGACCTCATCTCAACAATAAAAAATTGGCTGTGTGGGCTGGGAAGGTGGTTCAGTGGTAGAGCACCTGCCTTGCATGCATGAGGCCCTGGGTTCTATTCCTCAGCACCACATAAGCAAAAAAAAAGAAAGAAAGAAAAAAGCCGGAAGTGGCACTGTGGCTCAAGTGGTAGAGCAATAGCCTTGAGCTGAAGAGCTGAGGGACAGCGCCCAGACCCTGAGTTCAGGCCCGACAACCGGACCCTCCCCCCCAAAAAAAATTGGCTGTGGCGGTATGTAAATGTCATTTAGGAAACATAAATAGAAGGACCACAGTCAGGGAAAAAGTATGGGACTCTATTTGGAAAGTAACTAAAGGCTGGGAATGTGGCTACTGGTAGACTGCTCTCCTAGCACACATGAAGCCC